CCTATAGAGTGTTATTGGAGTACCCTATTACAAAACCAGGTCAACCCAGGTTAAGGTGGTGAAACCGGTTAACTAACACTGTTAACCAACTCAGCCAGGCCTTCACCAGCGAAATGGATGATCAGCTCTAACCAGGTCAATTATGATGGATGAACTCAGTCCTGTCAGTCAACCACCTAAACCAGCTAGAAATTATGTAAATCCAGCTACCACCTTATTTTGTAAGAGAGTGGATACCTACTTTCTTCTGTGGAACACAAAAGAAAATATTTCGAAGCATTTTGGTAACCAAACCATTTTGGTGACCACTGACTTATATTGTGTGAACAAAAAATACTGAGACGTTTCTCAAAATATCTTCTTTTGTGTTCCACCGAAGAGAGAAAGCCGTACCGGTTTGTAATGACATGAGCGAGTAAATTATGACAGAATTTTTTATTTTTTTTGGTGAGCCAATCTCTTTAACCCTGCAGCTGATGCACCAAAAGCAAGGGCCAACACAAACCATTACCCAGCATGACAGTGGTCAGTTTGAAGTCAATGTGAAGTTCTCAGATTTGGTGTCTCTCTGTTCAGTGTTTCTCCTCCCCTCCAACCGGTCGTCCTCACTTGGAAAGTTTGCTGATGACTCTGATTAAGGCTCCATTCTCATCTTTCAGCCGCTGGTTATCAGACTTGAGTTCTGTCAAAACCTGAGATTAATTAAAGGTGAGAATGAGAGAGAAGAATGCTTTTGATTATTAACTTAAATATTTAGTGGTCACGTGGCGTCAAAATCATGAGATGGCAATGCACCATATATTAAAATAGTTATTCTAGCCCACAGATTCATTTCTTTGGGTGTAAATCATTTTTATGAGAGAAATAGATGTAATAAAGCATGCAAACATTGCTAGACCATAACACCACAGAATATGATTTTCAAATTCACCTTTCTAAAGGAATGGCAGCTGGCAGTGGCATGTGAATGTGTACTCATGCATATAGAGGTTCACCTCCTCCTACTCCAGTAAAAAAGCATTGCCAGAACTACAAAAGCTTTAACAGAAGTGCAAACCCAGCCACTCATGACTTCATATCACATCTGTCCAACCATTGGATACAACAACAAAGCTTTTTTTGTGCTCCGTTTTAGAAATAACCAGCACACACACACACACAGAGGCTCATAGCAACGTGGACAGTTCTGGCTTTCTGAATATGAGCAGGATACAAATTGATGTCCTGCTACATTTTTAAGCAATAAAGGCACAAAAAAGAGAAAACTATTAGATATGTAAGATAAATCATTATCTAACATAAGATTTACACTGCATTAAAGATTTTGGCCTGTCAGTGGTCTTGACCCTTAACTAAATCCAACAATTAAAATCATTATTCAGTGTAAAATCAACTGCTGAATTGCATTAAATTACTTGAGAAAATACTATCCATATTTTATCAAAAACATAACCTAATATTTTCAATTTACAATTATTTTTATGTTTATTTTTTATTGCTATCCGTGTAATACAGGCATCCAATAGTCTGTAATGTCATTTATAACCAGTGAGTAGATGTGTTGACAGAGACTAGAATGTGACACTACTGAGGCTGTGATTTGATTTGGACATTGCTGGAGTATAGAGACCTTTGGTCATTGGTTTGGAAGGTCTATAAATATCTTCAAAGTCGCCGCCTGCAGCAGGAATGTGAGGGGTTGCCCTTCCCCAGACCCAGGAGAGAAACAGGGAGAAAGAAAGAAGGGGCGAAAAAGCTTTCCCAATGCAAAACAAAGGAATGAAACTGAGACCTGCCTGAGAGGTGAGCAGCAGCAGGACAGAGGGGTAGGACTACAGGGTGCAGCGGAGAACAGGAAAGAGGAAAGGACAGAGAGAGATAGAGAGGGGTACTAGAGATCGTCCGTCTCTGGGAGAGAGGCCGTCTGAGTGAGGCGAGCGAGGGAGCGCAGCATGGCTTGATTCTCCTGTAGGAGGTGTGCGTTCCCCCTGCGGAGAGCCTGTAGTCGAGCCAAAGCAGGAAAGGTCTGGAGATACAGAGATGCCCGAAATCATGACAGCGGGAGTGAAAGAACATCAGAGAGGGTTTGGGAACAAAAAAAATGAACAGCATTAGTGTGTCTGAGTTAGTTAAAACAAAGTCAACATGAAATCAAACTTTATTTTTTCACATTCTTATTGTGTTTCTAATTCATCTTTGCCCATTATTCATGAGAAAAGTGTTTTATAAATGTTCATCCAAATGTTACGGTGGCCAAACAGTTCCAGTTCCAATTGACTTCCATTATATGGACAAAAAAATACAATAGAAGTAAATGGGAACCAAATCAGTTTGATTACCAATCTTCCACATATCTTTGTTGAGTTCTGAAGAAGAAAGAAATGCATACAGGTTTGGAAGTTCATTGTTTGGCTGAACTATCCCTTAAACTAACTACAATCAAAAGGTTAAATTTAGCTACTTATCTGTTCAGCTACTCATTGATGCAAGAATCTCCCATTTATATAATGCAACGCTTCCTTCAATTGTCCACATCTTTGGTTCTGCTTGAATTAAGCTCTGTTAAAGTTGAATATGCCAAGTGAGAATTTCTCTACCACCTGAAAGGGGTGCATTAAATCTGACAAAATGGTTTATTAAAGTGTCCAGTGGTCTAAGGACATCGAAGGATATAATTCATGGACACTCGAATTTTGCATACAATAATTACTACTGAATGAGCCAATCAGTTTGAGCCAGCTTGTCTTTGCCCTCTTCAGTTGTGCAGTAAATCTAACATACTGGCATCATGCATTTTCTAACAGTCTAGAGAATTCCAAGTTTTGAACACTTTTACTGTGCTAATCTTGTTTTTATAATCACTTAAATGTCCCATATGGGACAACACATATGAGGAATCCTATTTCACCATCAGCCCATTTCGTGGCTCAACCACAGTAGAGAGCGTGTTAAAGTTAATGCAAGTGCTTCATACAAGTTAAAATGGCCTTACAAAATCTAAATTGAACAGTTTTCACAATACGCAGATCCACTTATTGCTCATTCAGGCCAATTTGCTGTGCCATTTCTCAGTCGCCATAGAAAATGGACTAAAGATAACATAGGTTTTATACTAGATGTAATAGACTAAAGAGATTTGAATTATCAACCGTTTTTACTGTACCAGTCTTTTTATATGGATCCCTTTTTACAGGCACTTGAACTGTTAGCCCAAACTTTATCAGGTTAATTCTGGATGGCTTACAACCCTGGTAAAACCCCTTTATATGGCCACATTTAACTGTAAATATAAGTATTCACATAATTATAATATGAATCTTGTTATGTCACATTACAAAAGTAAAGTGCGTATTTCATGTTGACTTTAGAACGGGAATAGAAATATAAGCACGCAAAGACAATCAGGTGAGAACATAAATCAAATGTTGGATAAACTCACTGACACACAGCACATGCAACTATAGTCATTCACAAAAAAGAATAAGGAGGACAAGCCTGCAAACATTTCCTTGACCACTAACTTAAAATCAAATCAAGTTTTTAATTATTGGAGGACTTTTAAAAAGTAGAAATCACCACTATTTTCTTGCATAAAAACCTCACACTGTGCAGTGAGGAGATTAATGAGTGGCCAACCTCAGAAACTTCCTGAACCAGCATGTGGAGAAACCCTGAGGTTTGACAACGTTTTCAAACGTGGTTTCACGGGTTAGGGATCTGGGACCAGGCCATTGAGTTTCTCCAATGCATGAAAAACCAACAGAGAACTGCGAGGCATCCAGCATCTGTTCATAGCTCTTTCATGATTCATTGTTATGTCTCTACAAAGAGCATCTGCAGCCAGATATCTGAATGGTTAACTATGAAATGACGTACTGCTTTGACACACAGAGGTTGGCATGTCTTATCAGACAGCCAGTACAAGTGCTGTTTTACTTCAAGTCATGACTCAATTTGTCACAACATGGCTTCTAAATGGTGTTGAGGACAAACGGCTCTCGGCTCTTTCTGCTGAGCCATTCCTTACTCAGTAGAATTCCATTACTAGTAGCCTATGCAGCATAGCCTGCTATCTAACCTAAAGCAACATCCTTCAGAAAAAAATACATTTGACACACTCAACATAGCAAGACATGACTTGCTAACAGCTGTTTTCAGTCCACTTGTTAAGTCTGATGTTGCACGTCACCATTTCTGGGTCCAGTTGATCCAAAATGCTTAAAAAAGGGCTAATATACATTCACAGTGTGCTGTAATACTATTGAAAAATTATAATCCTAACCTATAATAATTCTAAACTGACACTTAAAGTTCGTAAAAGGTGTGCTATAAATAAATTGAGCACAAAAGAGTTTTCAGTTAGCATGTTGCTTCTAATGTCCTTCTAAACAAACTATAAGTTCCTAACCTATAATAATTCTAAACTGACACTTAAAGTTCGTAAAAGGTGTGCTATAAATAAATTGAGCACAAAAGAGTTTGCAGTTAGCATGTTGCTTCTAATGTCCTTCTAAACAAACTATAAGTTTGTTAATAAGGCATTTGCACAACAGCTGTTGCATAGGGTGCTGTAGTGATGGCATATTTTTACACAAACCGATAAGTTCGTATCACCCTGATTTCCCTTACAAGCAATAACATTTTTCCTCTGGCTTTGGCTTTTTGGATTATTTTTGGAGTTTTATGATTCTTACACGTTTTATTCATCATTTATGAATTTTGAACTCTAAATACAATCACCAGTAGTCCCATTTAGCCACTTGTTAGCATATAAATTTTTGGGGGATTTCTGACACATTTTATGTCACAGAATGAAACGTGAAAATATCTATTTCAAGCCTTTAATCAAAAGCCTATTTTAAAAAACCCATTGACTTTGGAACGATGGAACCAAAAGTGTTAAAATTCAAGCTCATTTCCAGGTTTTGGCCTACAAAAATATGTCATCCCTGCAGCCCTCCATTGTGATTTTGTTTACTGAGTACTCAAATTACACAGATTCATTTTGGCGTTAATAGTGTTGCAACAGAGAGGAGAGAGGCCGTCTGAGTGAGGCGAGCGAGGGAGCGCAGCATGGCTTGATTCTCCTGTAGGAGGTGTGCGTTCCCCCTGCGGAGAGCCTGTAGTCGAGCCAAAGCAGGAAAGGTCTGGAGATACAGAGATGCCCGAAATCATGACAGCGGGAGTGAAAGAACATCAGAGAGGGTTTGGGAACAAAAAAAATGAACAGCATTAGTGTGTCTGAGTTAGTTAAAACAAAGTCAACATGAAATCAAACTTTATTTTTTCACATTCTTATTGTGTTTCTAATTCATCTTTGCCCATTATTCATGAGAAAAGTGTTTTATAAATGTTCATCCAAATGTTACGGTGGCCAAACAGTTCCAGTTCCAATTGACTTCCATTATATGGACAAAAAAATACAATAGAAGTAAATGGGAACCAAATCAGTTTGATTACCAATCTTCCACATATCTTTGTTGAGTTCTGAAGAAGAAAGAAATGCATACAGGTTTGGAAGTTCATTGTTTGGCTGAACTATCCCTTAAACTAACTACAATCAAAAGGTTAAATTTAGCTACTTATCTGTTCAGCTACTCATTGATGCAAGAATCTCCCATTTATATAATGCAACGCTTCCTTCAATTGTCCACATCTTTGGTTCTGCTTGAATTAAGCTCTGTTAAAGTTGAATATGCCAAGTGAGAATTTCTCTACCACCTGAAAGGGGTGCATTAAATCTGACAAAATGGTTTATTAAAGTGTCCAGTGGTCTAAGGACATCGAAGGATATAATTCATGGACACTCGAATTTTGCATACAATAATTACTACTGAATGAGCCAATCAGTTTGAGCCAGCTTGTCTTTGCCCTCTTCAGTTGTGCAGTAAATCTAACATACTGGCATCATGCATTTTCTAACAGTCTAGAGAATTCCAAGTTTTGAACACTTTTACTGTGCTAATCTTGTTTTTATAATCACTTAAATGTCCCATATGGGACAACACATATGAGGAATCCTATTTCACCATCAGCCCATTTCGTGGCTCAACCACAGTAGAGAGCGTGTTAAAGTTAATGCAAGTGCTTCATACAAGTTAAAATGGCCTTACAAAATCTAAATTGAACAGTTTTCACAATACGCAGATCCACTTATTGCTCATTCAGGCCAATTTGCTGTGCCATTTCTCAGTCGCCATAGAAAATGGACTAAAGATAACATAGGTTTTATACTAGATGTAATAGACTAAAGAGATTTGAATTATCAACCGTTTTTACTGTACCAGTCTTTTTATATGGATCCCTTTTTACAGGCACTTGAACTGTTAGCCCAAACTTTATCAGGTTAATTCTGGATGGCTTACAACCCTGGTAAAACCCCTTTATATGGCCACATTTAACTGTAAATATAAGTATTCACATAATTATAATATGAATCTTGTTATGTCACATTACAAAAGTAAAGTGCGTATTTCATGTTGACTTTAGAACGGGAATAGAAATATAAGCACGCAAAGACAATCAGGTGAGAACATAAATCAAATGTTGGATAAACTCACTGACACACAGCACATGCAACTATAGTCATTCACAAAAAAGAATAAGGAGGACAAGCCTGCAAACATTTCCTTGACCACTAACTTAAAATCAAATCAAGTTTTTAATTATTGGAGGACTTTTAAAAAGTAGAAATCACCACTATTTTCTTGCATAAAAACCTCACACTGTGCAGTGAGGAGATTAATGAGTGGCCAACCTCAGAAACTTCCTGAACCAGCATGTGGAGAAACCCTGAGGTTTGACAACGTTTTCAAACGTGGTTTCACGGGTTAGGGATCTGGGACCAGGCCATTGAGTTTCTCCAATGCATGAAAAACCAACAGAGAACTGCGAGGCATCCAGCATCTGTTCATAGCTCTTTCATGATTCATTGTTATGTCTCTACAAAGAGCATCTGCAGCCAGATATCTGAATGGTTAACTATGAAATGACGTACTGCTTTGACACACAGAGGTTGGCATGTCTTATCAGACAGCCAGTACAAGTGCTGTTTTACTTCAAGTCATGACTCAATTTGTCACAACATGGCTTCTAAATGGTGTTGAGGACAAACGGCTCTCGGCTCTTTCTGCTGAGCCATTCCTTACTCAGTAGAATTCCATTACTAGTAGCCTATGCAGCATAGCCTGCTATCTAACCTAAAGCAACATCCTTCAGAAAAAAATACATTTGACACACTCAACATAGCAAGACATGACTTGCTAACAGCTGTTTTCAGTCCACTTGTTAAGTCTGATGTTGCACGTCACCATTTCTGGGTCCAGTTGATCCAAAATGCTTAAAAAAGGGCTAATATACATTCACAGTGTGCTGTAATACTATTGAAAAATTATAATCCTAACCTATAATAATTCTAAACTGACACTTAAAGTTCGTAAAAGGTGTGCTATAAATAAATTGAGCACAAAAGAGTTTTCAGTTAGCATGTTGCTTCTAATGTCCTTCTAAACAAACTATAAGTTCGTTAATAAGGCATTTGCACAACAGCTGTTGCATAGGGTGCTGTAGTGATGGCATATTTTTACACAAACCGATAAGTTCGTATCACCCTGATTTCCCTTACAAGCAATAACATTTTTCCTCTGGCTTTGGCTTTTTGGATTATTTTTGGAGTTTTATGATTCTTACACGTTTTATTCATCATTTATGAATTTTGAACTCTAAATACAATCACCAGTAGTCCCATTTAGCCACTTGTTAGCATATAAATTTTTGGGGGATTTCTGACACATTTTATGTCACAGAATGAAACGTGAAAATATCTATTTCAAGCCTTTAATCAAAAGCCTATTTTAAAAAACCCATTGACTTTGGAACGATGGAACCAAAAGTGTTAAAATTCAAACTCATTTCCAGGTTTTGGCCTACAAAAATATGTCATCCCTGCAGCCCTCCATTGTGATTTTGTTTACTGAGTACTCAAATTACACAGATTCATTTTGGCGTTAATAGTGTTGCAACAGAGACGCATAATTCCAAGTCTGAGGACATGAACAGCTCAGAGTAGGACGTCCTGGGTCATCTAGTAATAAGGGTAATCACGATATAAACACAGCATTTATAATCAAGATTACGTTTGACTTTGCCATTTGGATCATTGCTATTTTGAGAGCATCACAGAAAAAAAGAGAGTATGGATACAAATCTGTGACTAAGAGTGATCTACATGACCCACACCGTGTTGTAATGGGTGTGTTTTGGTGTGTGTGAGCAGGCAACCACGCGTGGGACAAAACCACTCACCATCTGCCCTTCTTTCACCCAGTCCAGCTGAGGATGAACTCAGGGCTGGTAGCGAAACCTCACTGAGGGCGTCTGCTGGGGCAACAGTGACATCACTGATCAAACAAACACAAGTGCACCTCATTTCTCATGGTCTTAAGCTCGATGAAGTGAGAGTCTGTCAGACCTGCCAATCAGTGTTTGAAAAGCTTCTTAAATAAACACTATTAAAAAGAGTTTATTTAATGGTATTGATGGTTCCATCATAAATCTTTAACATTTATGGAACATTGCAAAATAGGTTCTTTATAGTGGACAAAGATTCTTTAGATTTTTAAAAGGTTCTTCAGGCCATCTAAGATTAAGTGATTTTTTTTTCTTGAGTAGAGCAGTAAAGAAGATTTTGAGTGGTGCTTAATGATTCATAAAATGCAAGTCAATGGCTACTGTCGCTTTGAGAGTCAAAAAAAGCACATCAGTCAACATAAAATTAATACCCATGGCTCTTGATGATATATTGAGATCTTATGAAGCGAAACAATCGGATTGAGCAAGAAACGGAACATTATTTACAACATTATTGCCTGTAACCCAGAGCCTCAGACAAAGAGGGAAATTCGATTATTTTGTGCAAACTGGTTCTTTTGGACAGTTTGTTTCAATGAACTGGTTCAAAAAACTGATTCACCAGTTTGTTTACACAACGCAATTATATTATTAAAGCCCCCAATAATGATATGAAACATGGATGTTTTACATGCATATAAAGTCATTTAATCAACTCACCTTTTTACAGAGAGGTCCAACCGTTTTTTTTTTTCAGTTCAGTGACTGTTGGGGTAACTGGAGTTGGCAAAAATCATATAATCATATATCATATTTCAAGTTGGAGTGACTGCCAGGGACATCCGGCAGTGAGATTTGATTGAGTAACTTGTAGATCTGTGCTGCTCGAGCCGCAAACTGTTTCAGAGACTTCAATCCGATTTGGTGAACTGGTTTATAGTTCACTAAAAAGAACCAGTTCAAAAGAATGATTCGTTCGTGAACCGGACATCACTCTAGATCGTTTGCCTGAGGCTCTGGATTACAGGTAATAATCTTGTAAATAATGTTTGGTTTCTTTCACAGACTGATCGTTTCATTTTATAGGACCTCAATATACGTGTATCGTCAGGAGCCATGGGTATTAATTTTGTGTTGCCAGATATGCTTTTTTTGCCTCTCAAAGTGACGTTAGCCATTAACTTGCATTTTATGAATCAACAAGGACCACGGTTTCAGCTAAAAAATCTTCTTTACAGTTCTACTGAAGAAAACAATTGAATGGTCTGAGAATATAGGTAAATTAACAGCAAATTTTCATTTTTGGTTCAACTGTCCACTAAAAGGTTCCTTGGGAAACCAAAATGGTTCTTCTATGGAATCGTTGTGAAAACCCACTTTTGGAACCCTTATTTTTTAAGTGTGTATTTTATTCCCTCCATGGTATTCTGAAGCTAAAGCTGTTTGCATATTTGCAATATAAATAGCAATGCCATCCGCATGTCTTGCCTGAATCTAATCAACTTTGAACTAATCAGAGTCAAAACACCCCAGAAACCTTGTTACCTCAATTGCAACATGGATCAATTATCCGACTGAGCCTGGCAGACTACAGCAGCCGCAGATATCTAATCTGCCTCACATTGATTTTACTTTTCATATATTTGGCACCGTGTTCTTCTTGGCCCATCAAAATGCCAGCTATGAGCAATTACTGCTGGAATGCTGAACAAAAGCTGTGCCGTGTCTCTGTGCTGGATTCAGTCCGGCCCTGGCATTGCTGGAACTAGGTCACCGTGAACTGCTGCAGCTGTGAGATGCTACAGAGCCAAGAGTAGTGGCCATGACTTTGGTGTGGGCTAGTAGCGAGCATTGTGGCGTCTGAGATTGGCTAACATGGGTGAAAACAGGCATGGTAGTTACACTAGCTGTTAAAAATTATTAGTGATCTAAACTTTTCAAGAGTTCATTCAAACAAACTGCCCTAGTTAGCATCTTTGAACATGCTTTCAAAAGTCTCCCCAACTCAGGTTCAGAATAACACGGCAAAGCTTAAGGTATTTTTTTTACCTTAAATTCTTCTTCCATGTCCGAAACCCTCTTCTCCAATGCTTCTTTTTCCTACACAAGCACATAAGAAAATAAAAAATACTATTACGATTTTTTTAAATAATCTATAAAACAAAAATAATTGTTTGAATAATTTTTTTTATATGATACATTTTTATATTTATATCTTTTAAATAATTCATATTTTTTATATTTATCCAGATGTAGCAATTAATTAATTAAATTAAATTAAATTAAATTGGATTGGATTGGAAACATGAGTTATTGAGCTACTATGAGGATGAATATCAGTTCAAGATCGTAGCCAACATTGAAGAGAAACACTGACATTTCTCAGAAAGTGTCAATAATGATTATATAATGATAACATATACCCTTTTTTCTGATTCAAATACAGTGGACCTCTCTGATATTCTGTCCTGCCTCTGAAAAACATTCACGGAAAGATTAATGAGCAAAAGAGAATACATGTACATAGAAACAAAACTGTAAAGCGATATTCAAAGCAAAATATGCAAAAACATAATAAGCTGAATGTTTTAATAAGCAATTACTGCTGGACCAGTATCTAGATATATAATTGGCTTTTCACAGATTATAATTCCTTACAGATGCTGTGAGCTACACCAAAAGCCAGACCTTTGGGAGCCTGATTGGATTCAGAGAGCTGGGCTGTACTATTGTTTTTAATACAGGTCCCTCCTCTTGGCGGGATGATGGTGATGATTCAGGCCACAGAAAATCTCTCTCCTCATCTACTGGGATTGTCCTCTCACCTGTGTGACTCTGTCAAGCTGTGAGCGGATTTTGGTGAGCTCCTGTTTGCCGTCCTCCAGTCGAGACTTCAGCTTCTCATTCTCAGTCAGTGCATCCTCATACAGCTGATAAAGTCAAACAAACAAGGGTAGAATTCATCGGACTAATTTAGCATCTCCACTGGGAGCTGCTTTCCTGTCGCTGGTCAACAGACGACTGCTAATGGTCTGCACTGGATAAACACATTGGCATTCAGATATATACTAGTGTATTTTGATGTTACTAGGTTTGCATATATGCATTGTCCATGTCATAAAACACCCTTGTCTCTGGGTATAGTATCTGAGGATTGAGGGATAATATCTAATATAATGAACGTGCAATGAGTGTTTTATTAATCAAAGTTATCCTGACCTTCTTATAGTCCTTGCTGGCCGAGTCGTCCTCTGTTTTGCTCAGTGAGGCGAGTCTGTTCTCTCTGCGTGTGTATGTGCTGGTCCGAGCTGACAGTCTGTCTGACGGAGACTCCACACCACTAGAGTCCGACCTGCTTATAACATCAATCATCAAGTAAGTGTTGATCATACCAGGTTTTATGCATTTATTTACCAGTAAACAGAAGCAAATTAAATAATGCTTTTAGGCAAGGAATAGAGCAGCTTACCTTGAGGCCCGGTCTTGCTAGAAAAAAAAAAGAATGTTAGATAAAATATGCTGAACATATAAAGGTGATAACGACATTACACTAACAAAATAAAGTACCAAAAATGTACTGCCAAGAGGAGACTGGTTGTCCTTTGCTAAAGTAAGGAAACTTTGCTTCCTTTGATCCTGTTAACAAACGTTGGTTTTCACGAGACTCACCGGCACATGAGCAACGCTGAAATCATATGTCAATGTTCACTGACAAACATTTATTGTAAATTAAAATTATTTTAAAGTGCCCCTATTATGCCAATTTTAAGGTTCCTAATGTTGTTTTGGGAGTCTCCTACAATAGGATTACATGCATGCAAGGTCAAACAATGCTTTTGTTTTCTCAAAATATGCATGTAATTTCACCTCCTCATTTCCTAACGATTCTCAAACGATTCGTTCAAAGCAGTTCTAAGATTCAGTCTCTCTAAACCCCTCCTTTCTGTGAGCCTACTCTGCTCTGATTTGTCAGATGGCCCAGTCTGTTGTGATTAGTCTACGGTTTACATTCAGATGTCGGATTTGAATTAATTACTGACGACTCGTTTATGCCGTTCAGAGTCGATTCTTTCTTTTGGGTGGCAATAACTTCATTTATCTTGCACGTTCGGCTTTACAACTTTGCAGATCGTTTACATTCACATACAGCTGCATTACACACTGCATGAAAGGCAAAATTTCGAAATGACATAATAGGGGCACTTTACATTCAATTTCTTTTGAAACTTGTATTTCATGTATTTAAATATATTTGTAATTACACATTTGTAATGATGAAGATGCAATTTATTACATTTAAAATAGATTACCGTTATATGTCATAAAAAGTTATACACTACAGTTAAAATTATAATCCAATACTTTACATGTGCTTTAGTATGTTAGTGAACACATCAAAATAAGTGTATTTCTTGACAGCACAACTCTGTACTATATACTGTATATATACTTTTAAGATTTGAAGTACACTACAAGTGCACATTCAATACAACTAAAGGGTTAGTTCACCCAAAAATTAAAATTAGGCTGTGATTTACTCACCCCAGAGCCATCCTAGGTGTGTATGACTTTCTTCTTTCAGACGAATTCAGTCTGAGTTAGATTAAAAATTGTCCTGGCTATTCCAACCTCTATCATTGCAGTCAGCGGGTATTGCAGTGCTGCAGTCTAAAAGAAGTGAAATAAAAAGCGCCCATCCATTAAAAAAAGTGTCTCACATGGCTCCAGGGGGTGAACAAAGGCCTCCTGTAGTGAATCGATGCGTTTTTGTAAGAAAAATATCCATATCCAAAACGTAATAATCACTTTAATCTAGCTTGCGCTCACTGTTGTAAACGGAGTCAGCTCCGGGAAGATGACGTATGAGGTCAGCGTTGCACATGCGCCGCTCAGAAGTGATGCACGCGGAAGCGCAGGGCGAGACTCACCGGCACATGAGCAACGCTGAAATCATACGTCATCTGCCCGGAACTGCTTCCGTGTACAACTGTTGGCGCAAGCTACATTAAAGTGATTATTATCTTTTGAGTATGGATATTTTTCTTACAAAACGCATCGATTTGCTACAGGAGGCCTTTGTTCACCCCCCGGAGCCGTGTGCTTTTTTTTTAGTGGATGGGCGCTTTTTATTTAACTTCTTTTGGACTGGTGCATGCAACACCCGCTGAGTGGCATTATACATCTTGAAAGATCAAAGACAATTTTTTTATACAACTCCGACTGGATTCGTCTGAAAGAAGAAAGTCATATACACCTAGGATGACTTGAGGGTGAGTAAAACACAGCCTAATATTCATTTTACGGTGAACTAACCCTTTAAGCACACTTCAAGCTTGCTTTGCGTTGCATTCATCTGATAAATAATCTGGATGCAAAAGCTATCTGATGTGGACAGATCTAAACAAGCTATTTTCTGATTGGGAGATTATTCAATCTTCTTGATCAGATCACAGTGATCACACCTTAATGTAAACACATTTAAACTGGGCCTCAGTGTGCAAACAGGAGAGTTTTTAAGTGTGACTGAACCTGTGACATAAGTGAGCTGGAACAGCGGGTCAGACTGAGTCTGCTAGACCACTCAATCTGTCAATGGGAGTCTGTCATACAAACGCCTGGAGCAAGAGCATGATATCATGTTGTTGCAAACTTGTGCATATGTGTGTCTACAAAAAATGACATCATGTCGTGAAGTGTTTTTTAGTACACCCACTTCCTCTCAGCTGAAATCACACTAACTCGCAATGACAGCAAAACAGTTCATTTCAAGAGGATTTGTGCTTTTTGTTCTTTTGTAATAAATTGTTGCAAATTTTTGTCCCCTAGCCATTACTTTCCTACATTTTCCTTGTACAAGCACATTAATCAGTTTGTTTTTATGGGAGCTTAACTTGCATACAGTAAATCTTCTGAAAGAACATTTAATAGGTTTCCATTTTAGGCAAATTAATCGCATATTGTAAACATCACTGTCTGGATGACCTTTTATCCTGAGGATGTGCATCGATGGTAAATGACTCGTGTAAAGGTCTGCCAGTCCTAGCTGAAACATCCATAACAAAGATGGCAAGCTACAAGCCACTCGTAATTTCAAGTAGTTAAACTACAGTCAAGCTGCTCGATGGTTGCAGATTCCACACGGGTCTGGTAATATATTCTCACTGCTTCAGATTTAAGGCTGTTCGGCCCAGAGAGAAAGCGAGAGAAGGAAAGGCAGAGAAAGAATCTCCTCAGTTCCTCTGCTAAAGACAGCACATCCTGTTTGGACATTTGATTATGCATCAGAGAGGAATAACAGTCCACTGTCTCCACCGTCTGAGGGGGACTTCTGAACAACGCCAAAAAAGGTCACGCGAATCAGTCACTACAGCCGGGCAAAGTTCGGCAGAGAAAAAGAAGAGCTTTTCGTGTGCTCATAAAACTAATTACAGTAAATTAGATGTTAAATGAGACGTTTCTTTAAGTACAGGAACTTTAATTACTTTTCACAGTCTCATTAGTTTAATTGGTCCACTAACGATGTCCAACTGTGTATATACATTCTTCCCTGGAGAATTCAGTTTTGTCCTTCTTTTCCCACCTGACACCTGTCATGATCATTCCCTTGTGAAAGTGTGCTTAATTGTACTGAATGTGCACTTGTAGTGTACTTCAAATCTTAAAGGTACTGTATTAAAGGCTCCTGTAAGAGGAACCTTTATTATGAAACTGGAGTCGTAATAGTACTTCGGTAGAGGGCAGTGTAGTTTGATGAGCTGCCGCTGTTTGCTGTGTTTGAGTGATCTGTTGGAGCCGTTAGCTGCAAGGATGATACTTTCACTTTGTTCGTGGGGATTTTTTGCAGATTTAATATCAAGGTGGTAGTCACTGACCACAAAGTAAGTCAGCCCTATCTCATAACCCCAACAGAGCCTGTTCGATGGGGTGACCCTGGTGCACCAGCTGCAGTTCACACACGCCTAGGATGGACACTTCAGGGTCCTATACCTTCTATGGGGTGTCCCCCTACCACACGGCAATGTCTGCTAACCTCTATTGCTCCAATTCAGGATGAACTCCTTCAGAACGTTCAACGACTGTGGCAGTTGGATACGGTCCCACAGTGGGAGGGAAAAGAGGTAACCCGGTCCAAGCAGGACCAGGAGGCTCTTCAGCTGCTGGACGGTAAGACTGTCACCCTGGAAATGGAGGGAATCAATCGGTTGGCAACACCCCTACTGCGGCGAAAGGACATGCCTTCGTTGAATGCACCTAAAGAATCAGTCCTACCTACCCTTCGCAGTGTAGAGAGGCGTCTGCTGAAGGAGCCTGTAAAAGCTGAGGTCTACAAAGAGGAGATGAGGAAACTCATTGAGACGGGAGCTGTTAGGAAGATGTCTGATCCTATACCTGATTCACATGAATGCTGGTACATCCCTCACCATCTCGTGAGTCACAATGGGAAGTTCCGCCTTGTCTTTAACTGCTCCTATCAGTATCAGGGACAAAACCTTAATCAGTACCTCCTGCCAGGACCCACCCTCGGGGCCTCACTGTTGGGTGTCCTTATCCGTTTCAGAGAACATCCTGTGGCAGTAAGTGGGGATATTAAGGCGATGTTCCATCAGGTTCGCCTTATACCTGAGGACCGTCCTCTACTCCGTTTCCTTTGGCGGGACCTGAAGATGGATGAGGCACCCAGAATTCTTGAGTGGCAGGTATTACCCTTCGGCACAACCTCCAGTCCGTGTTGTGCTACCTATGCACTACAGCGTCACGTGAGGCAACACCCCCTAACGGATGAGGCAACCCAGTTTTCAGTGGAGAGGTGTTTCTATGTCGATAACTGCCTGCAGAGCCTTCCTACTGCAGATGAAGCTCGGAACTTGATTGATCAACTACGAAATATCCTTTCCGGAGCTGGATTCGAAATTCGCCAATGGGCCTGCAATGATCCTACTGTGCTGAGTCACCTACCTGCCCACGCCCGTGCTGCAAGTGTGGAGCTGTGGTTGACACAGGAGAAGTCGGACATCCCTGAATCGACGCTGGGTCTGAGCTGGAACTGGCAGACGAATTTACGTGATTTATGAGACTCCAACTTTGAGGAACATCTATAAGGTCCTAGCTACCCAGTACGACCCCCTGGGATGACTTCTACCTTATTCCACTCGGGCAAAAATAATCATTAAGCAACTGTGGAACAAGCAGAGAGGGTGGGATGACCCCAACCTACCACCTGAGCTCCTCCAGTCCTGGAATGCATGGGAGGAAGAACTCCGATACCTTCCTTGTATCTTATGTCCCTCCTGAAGTTGGGATGGAGTTACCCATGAAGTACATATCTTCTCGGATGCCTCGGAGCAGGCATATGGAGCGGTGGCCTACCTGCGGACTACTGACCAGGATGGTCAGACCTACCTGTCCTTAATTATAGCACGCTCCCGTGTCACTCCTAAACGAGCTCACTCCATTTGCAAGACTGGAACTCTGTGGTAGTCTAGTTGCAGCACAGTTGTCTAAGTTACTTGAAAATGAGTTAACCCTACCAATCAAGTCTATTTCCCTGTGGACAGACTCTACTACAGTCCTTCAATGGTTGAATTCTGAGTCCTGCCATTACCGAGTCTTTGTGGGGAACAGAATCGCTGAGATCCAGGAGCTGACGGAGAAGTGTTCCTGGCATCATGTAAGTTCTGCGGACCCTGCTGATGACCTCACAAAGGGAAGACCTCTCCAATACCTTGCTGTGCCGAACCAATGGTCCCAAGGACCCTTTTTCCTCCTCCAAGATCCCAAAGAATGGCCAGTAATCCCTAAGACTGAAACCAGGGAAGGCCAGGTTGAACTACGGAAATCTACCTTCTGTGGGATCAGTACCTTTCCTCCCTCATCTGGTAAGGTTGATGGATGGAATTACAACACCTGGCAAGAACTATTGGATGTTAATGCCCAAGAACTTCGAGTCAACTTGGTTCCAGGGACTTCTCCAGAGGCTGAGGATTACTGCCAGGCTGAGGTCCATATCCTCAAACGGGTGCAGCAGGAATCCTTCCCTGAGGATTATAAACTGTTAGAGACTGGGAAGCCAGTTAGGTCGGGGAGTCGATTAGTTACTCTAGCCCCTGAAATGGATCCATCCAGTGGTCTGATAAGGGTGGGAGGTCGTTTGCGGAGAACTGCAGGCATCAAAGACTCCATTTTGCATCCTCTGGTTTTGGATCCTAACCACCCCATCACTGGTTTGATTATTCACCATTATGATGACCAGTTACATCATCCTGGATCGGAACGGTTGTTCAGGGAAATCCGGAGATACTATTGGATTCTCAGAGGCCGCGAAGCGGTACGCCGGTTTCAACATGACTGCCCAGAATGTCAGCGTTGGGGGGCCCAACCGTCAATACCTAAGATGTCGGATCTACCTGCTGCGCGCCTTCAGCTCTACAAACCTGCCTTCTATTCTTGTGGAATGGACTGCTTTGGCCCCCTGATAGTCAAAATTGGAAGACGTACAGAGAAACGCTGGGGTATCCTCTTTAAATGTCTGACCACCCGAGCCGTCCATTTAGACCTACTCCCTAGCATGAGTACCGACTCATTCCTCATGGCTTTAAGAAGGTTTGTTGCGAGGAGAGGAACGCCAGCAGAAATATGGTCAGATAGAGGTACTAACTTCCGCGGGGGTGAAAGGGAGTTACGGGAAGCTTATGCGGCTTTGGCTTCTGACATACAGGGTCATCTTGCCCGACAGAGGATCCACTTCCGCTTTAATCCTCCATCGGCCCCCCATTTTGGTGGAGTTTGGGAAAGGGAAGTGAGATCGGTTAAGTCTGCCTTATACACAGTTTTGAGTGCACAGTCAGTACCAGAGGAGGTTTTAATGACGGTCTTGCTGGAAGTGGAGGCAATCCTGAACTCAAAACCCTTAGGGTACGTGTCATCAGATGTGGCAGATGCTGACCCAATAACTCCAAATAGTCTCCTCATGGGGCGGCCCGATGGATCTCTGCCTCAAGTCATTTATTCCGAATCAGAGATGTTAAGTCGCCGGCACTGGAGACGTTCCCAAGTCCTAGCGGACCGATTCTGGTCCAGGTTCATACGGGACTACCTCCCTAGCCTCCAAACCCGGCAGAAATGGCAAGCCTCTCATCCCAACCTGAAGGAGCAGACATTTGTTATGATTGTAGACCCCCAACTACCTCAAAGCTTATGGCCTGTAGGACAAGTGATCAAGACCCACCAAAGCTCAGATGGTCATATCAGGTCAGCTGATGTGTTGATAAAGGGTCAAGTTTATACCCGACCGGTGGCTCGCCTTGTCATCCTGCTGGCCTTACCAAAGGATGGCCTTAAGGCCCCAACACTGACTAGTTAAGTCGCCTTTCATGGAAGCAAAGATGCTCTGCATCTTTGGGGGCGGCTGTATTAAAGGCCTCTGGAAGAGGGACCTTTATTATGAAACTGGAGTCGTAATAGTTCTTCGGTAGAGGGTAGTGGAGTTTGATGAGCTGCCGCTGTTTTGCTGTGTTTGAGTGATCTGTTCGAGCCGTCAGCTGCAAGGATGATACTTTCACTTTGTTCGTGGGGATTTTTTGCAGATTTAATATCAAGGTGGTAGTCACTGACCACAAAGTAAGCCTATTTTATTTATATTTGTGTTTACAGTGATCGCTACAGTCTTATATGCGTTTGTATCATATGAACATGCCCAAACATGTCCTGTAACGATCGTTCTGTAGTATGCAGATCGGGAATATTACTTAACGGGTAATTATTAATTCTTTATCAAGATGTAAATCAGAGTTAAGATGTCTTAATGACATGATGTTGTTCTGTTAAGCTGCTACAATACCAAACGAGTGATTAGCGTTCTGTTCAAATGTTACTCCGATGCGCCACGATTCTATCCATATGTGGGAACTTTGTTCATAGGGACAAATGATCACTCATGACTTGTAGTATTCTGTGAAATACCTTGTTTCCCTTCATTTAACTGTATATTCAGTAGAGAAATGCCAGTTATGTGAATTATGAATGCTTTGGTTTCATTATGTAACCGTAAATATTACTATTGTTTATCTATATCTTTAGCTTATTCATTTCTTTATTGTACCTATTTTGCAGACTATCTACACCTTTGATTGTACCTCTGTGGCCCTTCCTTTTCTCTACTAATACACCATCGAAAGCTAATCACCTGTCTCTTCATTATTGGTGCTCTGACCGGCACCCAGGGGGGTTTACTCATCCATTACCTGATCAGAACCTAACAGTCCCAAAGTCTCTACAACAGGTATATTTTTCAAATCTGTACTTGCAGATATTATTATTGAAATCAAAGGCCACTTAATTGTAAAGAGAGACACTTTCATGACTGATTCTTATCACACTTAAGTGCACTTTTAAAAAGTGAACTTTGTTACAATGTCAAATGAAAAGTTTGACTTTAAATAATTACTTTAATAATCTTTTGTTGTGGTGTAAAGTACTCTTATTTTGATGTGTTGACTAACATACTAAAGCACATGTTTTGACTGAATTGCAATTAACATGTTATTAAGTGCCTGAAAACATTACATTCAGTTCACACTTATGTATATTCTTTCAAAGTATATTATTTAAGTTCTGTTTTAAAAGTATGCTTAAGTGCACTTCTTTTTCTCAAGGGTTTGCATAGCATCTCAAATTACGTCTACCAACTTTTCATTAAGGAAATGATGGTGATGGAAATGACATTTTAAATACTTATGGAATAAAATGGCTGACTCCTATATCAAGCCAAAGCTAATTTTATAACTATCTTTTTATGGATCACACATACACTCAACTAAATAATATTTTGATCTTTTTGCACAATGACTTGATTAATAAAGACACACAATAAAAATGTTCACCTCACATGTCTCATATTTCATATTTCATAAGCTCTGACACTACTGTCTCTTTGCTAACAAAGTACTGTACACTACTTTTGAATAAAACTTTATTAGTGGCAAAACTGATGCTCGTACAAACAATTGTGGCACAACTGATTGGTTTATCATAGTTTTAAAATGCAATAATTTATTTATGATCTTTTTAAATGAACATTTTAAGAATGAAATTCTGGGACAGTGTAAAACAACCAAATCTAAACACTATATGAAAAGTAGATACATAGTAATATATGCATAAAAAAATGTAGAATAAGTTATATTTTTGGATGATTTTAAAATATATTTAAAATCAACCTAAAACAGCTATTAGAAACACATAGAATGACATATAAGAGCATATGTGACAGTGAGAATAGCTCACTGATCATAACTGCATATGCTATTTTCTGGCATGCTTCTGTGGTGTTTTGCATGGAAATAAACAGAGGGATGAGAGCATGGCCCCTGGCCACTGGAGAGACGGGCCAATCTGAATGTTTACACAGTATTTCAGAGACGTCTCTCCTTATGTGGTTATACAGAACGTCCCCAGGAACCTGCATGACTACATCACGGCAACACTGGAGGAGAAACAGAGCAATGACTTACAATAACTGCTGTAATATCCGTGGCTGCTCTGTGCTTTACTGGCAATCATTATGATTTCTCAAAGTGAGACAAGATGCCTTATTCCAGTGTTTACATGTAGCCACAACAATAAAAGTTGCAGAAACGTTCACAGTTTGTGCTGGTGGTCTTGTTTAGTTCTGTGTGGCCACTTCATGTGGCGTAGATGTGTTTTGGTGGTCCTGTTCTCATGTCGGGCCATTCTAGGATCTGAAGTAATCGTGATGCAAAATGTGATTTACCCAAATAGGACATTTTCTTGGATTGCATCTATTGTTCGTCCAGAAACAACATTATCAAAAAACCATCATAAACCAAATGCTGAAAATGTACTCACCCTCAGGCCATCCAAAATGTAGATGAG